AAATTACGTTTCGTTAAATCCAGGAAGACAGAATCCCCAAACTTGCAGCAAGAGATTACTCAAATATTTAGTTAGAAGATTATAGAAGTGCAAACAATCTTGCTCTGCAGGTTTGGAGCTTTTACATACAGCTTTTAGGATGCATAGGGGAGTATGTGTGTAAAATGTATAGACTGTAGGAGAGTGTCTGTGTTGCAAAGGCCACTGACAGGAGGAGAGGCATTTGATAAACTGTTGTCAAACTCAAGTAGTAAAATCCAGCATTGGATACTTCAGTAGAAGTTTAAGCAGCGTAGGTGTCTTTTGCATCTGGACTGGACGCATTAATGGAACTTTTTTCCCCCTTTGTGTCTGAAACAGCACATGAATTACCAGAGCCATCAAATCTTCCGCTAAGCACTCGCAACTGAGCACAACATTCCTGCATTTACCTGGGGACACCCCAAGAAGTCACATGTGTTTCTTGGCGGAGTCTTATAATCTGTGTTTCTTTGGTATTTTTTGTGAGTTTTTCCCCACCACGCTTCTCGTGTCTGTCCTCCCCGTTGGAACCCCTGTTCCGTCTCCCCTGCTGCCTGTCTCCTCTGCGTGTGTTTCCTCCTCCTTCCCTGTACCCTCCGCTTCTGACTGCGGTTTCTCACAGCCCTGGCGCCTGCTTGCTGCAACGCTGCACCCCAGTAAGGGTTTCGGAACATCGCCTTTCCCCCCACCACCCCCAACATGCCATTGACATAGCTTTAGCTGACAGCTGGGTCGTCATGGTGCAAGTCAGCAACATCAACATCTTGCTTTAGTTGCTTGTGCATTTGCAAGCATAAGCTGTTACACTGAAATCGTTCACACAAATATCTGCCTGATTCTATTTGTAAGGTTTCAGCACCGGTGACTTTGTTGTTTCTGAAGGAAGTTTCAGATGGGCAAAGCTGATTGAACAACTTGCTGACAAAGAATGGGTAGTTTCTTGGCTTCTCTTGCTGCAACTCTGATGCTCATCTGACCTCTCGGCGAGCTGATTAAGCTCCTAACCTATAAAATTGCAAACATACATAAAAAGCTGGACTGATTTTGTTTGCTTCCTGCTTCATTTTAAGGAGCTGAATCAACTTACTGGGAGGTCAAATGAGCAGCAGAGCTGGTGAAAGGAAGAGGAGGGTACCACAGGGCTGGGAGGAGGAGACGTGAGAGTAAGGGACAGAGGAAAGGAAGCGGAACTACTGCTTCAAAGGCAGGTAGCTGTTGAAGATCAATAAACTGCTGGGCCAAAGATTAAGCTTTTTCACCCTTTCCTTGTGAGAACTTTCCTGAGGAGAGACTTCCTTTTTGCAGAAAGCAATTTTGAAATACCAGAGGTGTCTTTTTCTATCTTTGTTAAAAAAATAAAATAAATCTTGTACCAAATATGGTACTTGGGATTCTTAAATCTAGTTTGCTGAGATCAGTAGAGGGCTGCTGAAGATGATCGACACTGAAATCTCTCCTTGGCCTCCTGAAGCAAGGCTGCAGGTGCTCCTGAAGCACTTGCCCTTACCGGGTCTGGAGTCTTGCTCTCGCTGTTCCTCCTGAGGACCAGCAGCTGCTGTAGCACGTGGCACCTGAACACGGACAATGGGAGATTTTCTGATATGCTCCTACTGTTTCTTTGATGTTACTTGAACATCATGGAAGAAGAGAGGAAAGGGCTTTCCAGTCAGTAGCAAAGACGGATGGAAAAAAATGGTTGGAGAGAATAGAAGCAGATTATCTGGAGGAAAGAGCTCAGGTATTTAAGGGCAAAACAATATTCAGCTGAGAAGTGTGAGTCCTCAAACACCTGGAATCAAATCTGATTTTACAAGAGACTGCCATAGTTCTGTTATCTGCACAATAGCCAGGCACACCTTTTGTGTCAGGGCTGAGCGCAGCCAGCCAAGTGTTGGCTTTGATGACAAACTGTTTGAAGGGTTCCGTTGAAAGCCAACGTTTGCTGCCTCTTCAGTTATGCCAATGCAATCGTTCTTGACATTGTGGTTTAATATTAAAGTTGACCAGCATTTGAAAAGAAATATTACTTGGTTTTTATTTATTGTCTGATCTGCTGTGTAATACAGGCCTGCAAATATTTGTGCTGGCACAGCTGAAGGAGGAGTGAACTGCAGCGTGCAGATAAGTTGAACAAGAGAGAGCTGGAATGTCTTGGATCAACTTTGTTACTGAAAAGTGTTCGTGTAGTGAAATTTTAATACGTGGTACATTTACTCAGGTAATCTTTGGGTTTTTTTTACATCCAAGTATTTCAGGCTTTCAGAAGATCTGTGTGAATCATAGAATCATAGAAATGTCTTTAAATGTTCTGCAGACCAGTTCTGGATTTGTTACATAATGTATCATAGCTTGTTTTATTTCTGACTGTTGTGTGTAAAGACTATTAAGGTGAAACTCAAGCACTTGAATTAGGAAATACCAGGATTAAAGCTGCCTTTGCAGGATTCATTTGGTCCCTTGCCATTTGTGTATGTTGCAGCCTTGGTTACTGTTAAAGTGACAGTTACATTGCACCAAAGAGCTCTGCCTCCTTCCCTGCGCAGAAGAAACTGTACTCTGATAATGAAAGGGAAGATTTTAGTGGAATGCTGATCTCTACCTTGTTTAATGTAACAAATTGAAGGTGTTCTGTGGATAAAAAAGGATAACGCGGAAAGAAGGATGGGTGACTACTGGATTCTGCTTTAGATGTGCAGATTTTACAGCCGTCTCTACTAATAGCATTACTGTGTTACGATGAACAGAGGGACACACAGTAATTACATGGTGTTTATTCTGCGAGTGTCTTGCACAAAACACAAGGCGTGGGTAAAGCAGATTAAAATAAAAGACTTGAAAATATCACAAAACATTTGACTAATATACTCCTTTCCCCACTGTGTCCTTGAAGCATGGGTTCTGCAGCAACTTCCAGTGGGTGTCTCCACAACACTGCTTTAGCTCAAGTTTCCTTCATGAGCACACTGTTGATCTGTTACCTCCATACACCATGCTGCAGCTTGCATCCCAGATGAATCACTTGAGTCTGCAAATGCAGTTTCCTTCACATGAAGCTAAAGGAAAAGATGCATTCCTGGAACACTTGTTCTAATAACACTCCAAGTGTTAATGGATGCTTAAAGCATGGGACTGGATTAGGGCCGGTCAGACTCCACCACTCTGAATTGCAGTGGCATCCACAAAGGAGGTGGATAGCGCACACGCACCGACGATAAGTAAGACGATACTTATAAGCAAAACGTAGAAAGGAAACCAAACCAGGTTGATTTCTCAAATTCATAGAAGCTTGACTGCTCTGGTCTTTTTAGATGGAAGTGGGAGGGCATTATGCATTATAAGTATCTGAGGTGAATTAAGGATAAATTAGTGTTTATGAAATGACACTGCAAGATGCTGAAACACTCAGTAAAGACAGATCTGGTGAGGAAACAGAGTTCTGCTTTTGCTATTGTCATGACACTACTAACTCATTTGGTAGTTTCAGATGTAGAAGTGGTAGCTCAGTCCTAGGATATGATCAATGCCCTGAGATACTGTATGAGGCACCCTTTGAGTCATTTCTCAAAAATACCAATTTAGACTTTGATCACTTATTTATATCTATTAGTTTAAGATTTACCACCCTCATTTATTAATCATGGGGTTACAGCTTCTTAATATTGTATTTTATTTTGATAAACTTTTTGCATATGCTTTTAAGCTGATGAAGAGTGAAACCTTTTTGTTGTAGTAGCATGCATTGTGTATAAATTATAAAATGAGGTGTAGTTTCTCAAATCAGCTGTAAAAAGAAGAGAATTGCTTTTAACAGACACATCATTGACTTGTTTGACTACCACCATGGAGGAAGGTAGTGTAAAATTCTTACAGGTTAACTTGAACAGAATTGTAAGAGTGTCCATAAAAAAAAGAAAATTGGATATTGCTGATTTCCCTTTATATGTGCATGTACACAGATACATAAATTTCAATTCATGCCACAGAAGTTCTTTGTTTAAACTAACTTAAAACCTTAATCTCTTCTTCTGTTAAGATCTAGTCAGGAGCAGTCTATTGAGCTGTTGAGACATCCTGCAGTACCGAGTGGGCTGTTCAGAGCACGTGGAACATGGAGATTTCTGCACTGCAGTTTAATTTGTACTTATTGTACTCTTGGATGCATCCGAGGGTAACTGTTCCTCAAATATGTGGGTTATGGGCATAAAGTGCTCTTATGCTAATGAATAAAATGGGGAGTTCAGATTGCTTTTAAGCTAGAACAAAGCAGTGCAGGAATACTTGTTATAATTGTGACATTTCTAAGAAATCAGATCCTGTCAGTGCAGTTTATAAGTGACATGCATTTGGTAGCTAGAATTATATATTAACAACACTTATTAAGCATAAGAAAACATGATTAATTAATCTAGATTACAGACAATAATCCTGCTTCCTTCTCCCTTCCCGGTATTAATGCCCTTCCCATCATCCTCTTAAAAATGACAACAAAACCCTGTTAATTTGTTTGGTCAGCAGGAGACTGTCAAGGTTGCTTGGCCTCAGAAAGGTGACTTGGTATGACTAAGCTTTAGATATCTGATTCAAGAGTTTACCAGTGCAGTTGTGAAGAGAGATCTTCGTAAAGCTAAAGCTGAGAAATAGCTGATGAAGAGTGACATGATTGAACTGTTCCTTCATGTGGACAGATGTATTGCAGGAAGAGAACACAGCCCTCCGAGATCAGTGCTTAACAGTGTGTTTGAAAGTGGGCACGAGCTGGTTCTTCTTGTGCCAGTGCATCTGTTAGAGCTAACAGTGTTGTTTTAATTCCCATACCTTTCCTCTAAACAAGCTGTTTTCTTCAGCACTGTTGATGGTGGTTTAGCCAGTTTAGGAAGCACAGAGGGATTAGGAGTGTTTGCTTTATCTCTAACAACAGTTCACACAAGGCAACCTACAACTTTTTTTTGTTGTTGTTCTTTTTCAGAAACATCAGAATCATGGAGGGGCTCTTGCATTACATAAATCCAGCCCATGCCATTTCACTTCTAAGCGCACTGAATGAGGAGCGTCTAAAGGGACAGCTGTGTGATGTTGTTCTTATAGTAGGAGATCAGAAATTTCGAGCTCATAAGAACGTTCTGGCTGCCAGCAGTGAATACTTCCAGACTCTGTTCACGAATAAGGAGAATGAGTCTCAGTCAGTGTTTCAACTCGACTTTTGTGAGCCAGATGCTTTTGATAATGTGTTAAACTACATTTATTCTTCATCCTTATTCATTGAGAAAGGCAGTCTTGCAGCTGTGCAAGAACTGGGCTACAGTCTTGGAATATCCTTTCTTACAAACATTGTTTCTAAGAGTCCTCAAGCTCCTTTTCCAGCTTGCCCTGTTAAGAAAATACTGTATCAAGATGAAGATGAAAGTAGTTCTCAGAAGAGAAGTGTCATTGTCTGTCAGAACCGAATTGAAGCACAAGTGAAAAGTATAAATCAAACACAACATGATTTAAGCCATACGTCTAAACCTTCACTCTCTGTTGCTGTCAAAACTAGCAGTAGACCACAAGTAACAAAACCAACTGAAACCCTTCACAACTTGTCACTGACTGAGAGAAGATGGCTGAAAGAAAGCCCTATGAGCTACACTAAGGTTCATGAAACTTCTGGAACTGTGGAGGATCAGAGCAGAGGTGGTTTAGTGAAAAGGAACACAGTACTGCCTCAAATGCCTTCAGCAGAGAAAGAAACTGCAAGCGATGAACCAGGAAGCAGTGGTCAGCTTTTAAGAGGAAAGGCTGCAGAGGTGTCGTTAAAAAGACCGCGTCCACCAGTCTTGTCTCTGCGTGGTGCATCAGAATCCACATTTTTGTTGCGAGAGACAGGAAAAGGAAATGGTCAAGGTGAAGACAGGAATTTGCTGTACTACTCAAAGTTAGGGCTGGTAATCCCATCTAGTGGATCTGGTCCAGACAACCAAAGTATTGACAGAAGTGGGCCACTTGTAAAAAGCCTCCTTCGAAGGTCGCTGTCCATGGACAGCCAGGTTCCTATTTACTCTCCTTCTGTTGACCTAAAACCTTCACAGGTATCGTCGTCCTCCTCACCGGGAACTAACGATTCCCAGAAGACATTTAATATTGTATCTCAAAAGTCGTCCTTGAAAGAGTCATCAGAGAAGTTAGTCTTAGATGAAAAACCACAGGTAATACACCCACATCGCCTTAGGTCTTTCAGTGCCTCTCAGTCGACTGATAGGGAGGTTGCTTCCCCTCTCACAGAGGTGTGAAAAAAAACAACAAATAAAGACTTTACTTTTAAAACTGAGGATGACCATAAGGAACCAAGTAGACTTCCAGCAAAAAGGAGATTTCAAGCTGATAGAAGACTACCGTTTAAGAAACTGAAGGCGGATGAGCAGGGTTCTCCTGGGTCAGAAGATAACTTTGAGGAAGGATCAAGCCCTACACACCTTGATGCCGATTTTCCTGATTCTGATGTCAGTAAAGATGAATACAGCGACACGGAAGAAGCAAGACCAAATAAAAAATTCAAATGCAAGCACTGCCTTAAAATTTTCAGATCAACAGCAGGTCTTCATCGACATGTTAACATGTATCATAATCCAGAGAAGCCCTATGCTTGTGACATATGCCACAAGAGATTTCACACAAATTTCAAAGTGTGGACGCACTGCCAGACACAGCATGGAATTGTGAAGAATCCTTCACCAGCTTCCAGTTCGCATGCTGTTTTGGATGAAAAATTCCAAAGAAAACTGATCGATATAGTGAGAGAGAGAGAGATTAAAAAAGCTCTAATTGTTAAACTAAGACGTGGCAAGCAGGGTTTTCAGGGACAGTCTGCTTCACAAGCACAACAAGTCATCAAAAGGAATTTAAGGTCGAGAAGCAAAGGAGCCTATATTTGTACCTACTGTGGGAAAGCTTATCGTTTCCTCTCGCAATTTAAACAGCACATAAAAATGCACCCAGGGGAGAAACCAATTGGAGGAAATAAGGCTCCTAAGCAGAAAGATAATATTCATACTGAAAGTCCAGCAGAAAACAAAGAGGTTTATCAGTGCCATCTCTGCAATGCCAAGCTCTCTTCACTTATTGAACAGGGAAATCACGAGCAACTCTGTAGAAATGCTACTGTCTGTACCTACTGCAGCCTTAGATTTTCTTCTCCAGAGCTGAAGAACGAGCACGAAAACAAGTGTGAATACAAGAAACTTACTTGTCTTGAGTGTATGCGTACCTTTAAATCGTCCTTTAGTATTTGGCGGCATCAAGTTGAAGTTCACAATCAAAACACAATGGCTCCATCAGAGAACTTTTCTTTACCTATCCTGGATCACAATGGAGAAATAACTAGTTCGTCAAGATTGCCGCCTCAGTCAGAATCCAATAAAATGAACAATTTTGTTGCTGCAAAGGAAGACGGTGTATTCAGTGATTCATCAGAACAAATAAACTTTGATTCTGAAGATTCCTCATGCCTGCCTGAAGACTTAAGTGTTTCCAAGCAGTTTAAAATTCAGATCAAGGAGGAGCCTGCAGATGATATAGAGGATGAGGTCACTGAAATGAGCAGAAAACCGAAGAAAGTGGTCTGCAACAGAGATGCTGGTTTGTGGCCCTGTGAAAAGTGTGGGAAGATTTTCACCCTACGCAAGCAGCTGGAGCGTCACCAAGAGCTCTTATGCTCTGTGAAGCCATTTATTTGTCACGTGTGTCACAAGGCCTTCCGAACCAATTTCCGTCTGTGGAGTCACTTCCAGTCTCATATGTCACAGGCTGCAGAGGAGTCCACAAACAAGGAGCCGGAGATATGTCCACCAGCTAATTCCCCATCACCACCACCCTTACCTCCACCCCCACCCCTCCCCAAAATCCAGCCTTTGGAGCCTGATAGTCCGACAGGCTTGTCTGAAAGCTCCACTACTACTGAGAAATTATTTGTACCACAGGAGTCCGATACGCTCTTCTATCATGCTCCACCGCTCTCGGCAATCACATTCAAAAGACAATACATGTGTAAACTCTGTCATAGGACTTTCAAGACAGCGTTTAGCCTTTGGAGCCATGAACAGACACACAATTAGCTTTAGCAGATACCTTAAAAAGCTGGTTCAGTGGAGGCTGTGTTCAGGGTCTCAGATGTATGCCATATAAACTAGAAGTCTATGAGGATCAAAGTAGTGCTGATGACGATGAAAAATTTGGAACTGGTGATGCTGCTTCGATTTGAAAATTAAGGTAAACTAACTTGGTTAGTAGGTAGAAAGAGTAATTTAAAATACTGCGGTCTGGGATCTAATAGTAATAGAATAATTTTTATTTCATTTAACACTGAAATATGATCACATCTGGATTGTATGCATGGATCTTCATCCTGTGATGTTGGTGTGTGCGTGTGTATTATATATAAAGTTATATATTAAATGAAAGAGCAACAACAATTTGGATTCTAACCGTGAGTTGATAATAGTGAAATATTGTAGCCAACTTTTTTTTTTTTTTTGTTAAGAAACCAACACACAAGCTCCATATAGTTTCCACGAACTTGCAGTTAGGGAGGAAGTGGATGGAGTGTCTCGCTGTATTGACTTAGGTCTTAGAAACCTTTAGCAATAACAAATAAACCTCAAGTTTGAGTAATCCTGATGTTATTGGATACGAATGTTTGATATTTTAAGGGAACATAGAATTCTTTTGTTGTCATATGGAACTTGTGCAAATTAAAATAGAATCTAAAGTCAGCAATATTAGTACTAAGATTTTATATAAAAGGTAGCAGCAAGCCTGCTTTCAGCCATTTAATTATAAGTTTCTAAGGAAAATTGGGGGAGGGGGTACTTTGCTTTATATAATGTCCCAAAGACTAATTTACTCTGGATACTTCGGTAGCTAAAGTCATTGTATTAACAGCCATCATAATGCAAATGGTACTGTTTATAATATGAACTAAGGTTGAATGGATGTCAGACAAGTTTCATAATATTGTTTCCACTATTTGTACAACTGTTTGTAATTCTTACTACAAAGGAATGTATAACTATTAAATTAAAAAAAAGAGAGCTAATTGAGGGACAGAAGATGAGTTGTGTTCCTACACACAGTAATAAGCTTGGCCATGAGTACAAAGATATGTTTTAACAAAAACTAAAAATGTAAATATTTATATAGACACCTGTATAAATGAAGAATTATGTATCTGAAATTTGTATTAAGCATACATATCCAGCTCAAAGCAGAGGAAAAAACATCACACTACAATCACTGTGTTTTATGAATGCATAGAATATTTCTTTCTGCCGCTTTTGATCATGTGTGATACTGTGTTGCAATTTTCCAATTTGTTGAAAATCGTGGTAATAATGGGCTGCAGATAGTCTGTGTGGTTCCATTATTGTACCTCAAATCACAACTGGAGCATTTAGTGTAAGTAGGATCGTAGATATTTATCAGAAGCTAGAGTAAGGGTCCAAAATTATTCTGCGAGTGAAAGAAATGTTTAACCAGAAGGAGGTGGTAAGCTGACAGGGAAAAATTATTCTGCTAGAATTTAAACTTAATGGAATCATGATGGGTTAAAGTGAACATGAATGATGCAAGCGGTGTTTATGATCCTGACCAACTTTGCCCCGTGCGGGTTGGGAGAGGGGGACTGCATTCCACACAAGCTGATCAGAGCCCAGTCTGTGTTCGCTGAAAGCAACAGGAGTTTGGTCACCAGTTGGAGGGGGAGCAGGAGTGAGACTTTAATTCTGTAATGTAACCATTAATTTTTTTTTCAGCATCCCAAACTCATAAATAAAAAGAATTGCAAGCTGACACAAAGATTTAGAGAAATTCAGCACAAGTGTAACTCCTAAGAATCTGAGGATGGCCATCCTCAGCTAGGCACACGCAGGAGTAGATTTTTCTCAGTGAAAGCCCAAGTGTGCCATCATTTTTTTCCAACAGAATTTTTTTGTTTTATTTTAATTATTTTTCCTGTAAGTTAAGTTTAAAAGAATTGGCTCAGGAAAGACCCCTGACTTTTTTTTCAGCTACCAAAAGATTTTCAATGTTAGTTTCAAGCCTCTTCTGTTTCATTTTTTATTAAAATCTAAAATTGTTACTAAATACTTCTAATAACAATCTGTTGTCCTTTTTTGTCCTCTTTCAGGCAAATTGTATCTGAATATGATTACGTTAATTTGTTAGAGTATCAGTTAAACTCTTTTGGTGACCTTACAATCAAAACAAGGTACTTTTTTAATAGTAACAATTCTAGTTACTGACTTCTTTATTCCACCTGATAAGACTGAATTTCTTTCTTACCAGAAACAATTTCAAAATAAAATGGTTATTGAACTTAACCTGGTTTAACAAAATCAGAAAGACATAAAGCTTCGCTAAGTATTCTTTAAATGTATTTAAGAAATCTGTGCATATAAAATATTAATGTGTTTTTGTTCCCAAGTTTTCACCAATGATTTCTCTAACAACAGTCTGAAAGTTTACATGTAGCCTTGCAAAAATCAGTGTGCTTTCTAAGGGAAGATGGCAACTAGTTCAGCTATGTCGTAGTCATCCAGCTTCCAACTGGGATTCTGCTATGTGATATGATGATAAATTCCACACACTAAATCAAAAGCTTGTGCAACATCTTTGAGGAAATCTTGACCTTTTCTCCTAGCATACTATCGATTATAAAAAAATCGATAAAATGTTTTTGGTCTAAGTAGCTTCCTTCTAAGTTTTTCTTTGGTTGGTTTGGTTTGGGCTTTTTTAAATTTTGTTTATAACTTTGAGCATGTTTTGTGGGTTGTTTGTTTTTGTTTTTTTTTTAAATCAGTTCCTGCTGCTTAGTAAAGGAATTCAGGATCTCTGAAGTTTAAATATGAGATGTTTATATAGCAGTTCTGGTTTTCTATTAGCTTTTATACAGTATCTTAAAAAGCCCTTGATAGAAGTGTTTATTTTGGAGGATACAGAATAAATATGCATCCATTTATTTAACTTTTAATATATGTTTTAAAAGTTTAATTATGGAAAAAATGTTAGTTGCTTGTTTATAAATAAAGGTCTTTTGAAGAGTGTCTAGTTTGGCCACAGCCAAAATAAAAGGCAACTTTATTGATACAAAAGCCTGTCTTCATCATATTTTGTTTAATTTTGTAGCTGTGTACTAAGGTGACACAAAGTTGGAGATCTTGTTAAATATAAAAAGTGGTTTGCTTTTTTTCTTAAAATTTGTGATAAGAATGTGCAGATGTTTTAATATATAGATTAGAATCTTTAATTCTTTCTTTTTTTGCTATTTTTATAATGTCAGATAAATCTCAGATAACTACCCTGCTTCAGTGGAAGTACGGTTGAGACGTCTGTTGCATCTAAGAGGAGCAGGGTTGAGCCTTGAAATGTATTTTGTTTGGGGACTTTTTTTCCTTTCCGGCACTGTGTTGGCAAAGCATCTAAGCCTATGGTCAAGTCCATTAAGATCAGTCTTAATTTTTTTTTTAAACATGTGCTTAAGTTCTTTGCTAAATTGGGACCATGATCAACCTTGAAAGTGAGCAATGGCAGAAAAATACATACAGATTTTTATTTTTTTTAACTCCTAGAACCAAAAGTTAAAATGAATTTTCCTCTACATAAAAACTCCATATACAGCTAGGGTATAATTCTATAGTTTTACAAAAACAAAGGACATGAACCAGTAACAAGACTGTCTCTATTTTAATTTTTTTTTTTTTGGTAAGGGGGAGTGAGACGCCCTGTGACAGTTAACTGAGCAGGTAACCTGCTGAAGCAGTGGGTGACACTAGAGTTTGTCTCGTGTGTTTCACCATGGAGATGCAGCCTTATCCGTGAACCAAAACACCGCTGTAAGAGACTTGTTCCTGCATTCCCTATTTAGGCAGGCCTCCTAGTGACATCCAGTAGATCTTCTTGTCTGATGTTGTTTGTTTGTTTTGCCCCAAGTAGGACATGCGGGTTTGGTCTGAAGCTACATGTACTCTGTTTTTGTTCCAAGCTTCCAGTGGTAAAACTAGAAGTTCCTCACATGGGATAAGGACAGACTATGCCTAACTTCTTGGCACTGACGGTGAGGGTGCAGATATCTGGCATGAGCCTGTAATCTGGCATGTGCCTATACTGTTCAATGAAATTGTTTACATTTTCCTACCAGAAGATTTAGATAAAAATCAAAGCAAGCTTAGGGTTTTGGTTTGTTGGTTTTTTTAATATTGCTGTTAATTAATCAGTGTTAAAATCTTTTTGTTGCTGTTGTTGAACACAGCCTGATAGTATTTTTTAATGTGATTGATTCTTGTTTATTTAAAATGACTTGTGAAAAACTGTACTATAACTGTTGTACATAAAGGGACACTATCAAGAGAAAGGTTGTATACAGTAAATGTACTTACCTGTATTAAGAATTAAGAATGCTTGATATTAATAAAATCAAAGAATTTAAAAACCTGAATTGAGTCATAACACTTGAGCTGCTTGGGCATGAAAATGCCTATTAAGGGCATCCTCAGTTGTTGCAAGGATGTCTGAAAAATGTATCTGAATTCTGTGGGTCGAGCTTATTTTTCGTGTTGTTTTTTCTCTCACTATTCCAGAATAAAGGACTCGATCCATTTTTCCTTTTCCGGTTTCTCAGCGATACACATTACCTTTTAAAGACACAAGCTTCGCACTACTGCAGCAGCGTCTTTAATTAAAATATGTACATAAACCCAGAACAAACTAGCTTTTGCAATGTAACATGTGAAATACATATAAAGTACACATTTTAAGGCTTATTCTTGACAGTGTCCCTTTTTAAAAAGCAGGAAAATGGGATCACTTTTAGTGCTTGGGTGCAGGGGAATAGTTTCCTACAGTTTCTAGAAACTGGAATTATCCAATATATTTGCTACATAATTTTCCAATTAGTTGCAAAAAATCACTTGTCATTTTAAAGGATTATAGAGGCAAGACAAAAGAAGCTGGTTTTATAATCCTGTATACCTTATAGTCATTGTATATCAGTTCAATACACAAGTGTTGAATTTTAATTAAGGATGGGTTTTTACTTTTTTTAGGACTGAGACTTAATAGCTTAGGGTAACTTTTTCTTTAATGTAGTGTAAATCCGTTGCTGCTTTGTACAACTTTTTCTACTGTGTGTTTTCTTTACTTAGATCTTGACTAAGAAATGTTGAAGTCCAATAAACTTATACTTTGTTTCTTTTGAGCTGTGTCTTATACTGGAATCTCTTGGCAAAGTGTGATGTTATTGTACATACCATTGTGTATGTGGGATGGAAATTTTGTTTATAAAAGAACAGCTTTTGATCTATTGGATGTAAAGGATAGTTTTTACGTTACTAAAATAATGGCTTTTTGTTTGCTTTAGTAAGTGCCCC